CAGCTGACCCGCCCGCCGGTAGACCTTCCCGTTGGTCTCCAGGCCTTGGATCTGGTCGGGAACCACATCAAAGAGATCCCGCCTAAAGCCTTCCGGAACCTGACGGAACTGCAGGACTTAGCCTTCTGGCAGCAGCCATCTCTCACCACCATAGATGACGACGCTTTTTACGGACTCAGTAAGATGCAGTATATGGACGCCTCCTCAACGGGGATAAACAAGATCACCAACGGGACATTTAACGGTCTGAGTGGCATGGGGGAGCTCGTCCTGGGGGAATGTAAGATCCCGAATATCCCGGTGGGAGCGTTCCATCAGATGACGAGTCTGACGACGCTGTGGTTGGATGGGAACCTTCTTACCACGCTGGACCCTGTGGTTCTCGATAGAAGGTTTGTACTAGCGCACTGTCGTTGGACTTGATGCGGAAAAACACACAGAGCAAATGAATGCAAAAAAAATGCAGTACAGAACTAGTGGAGCAGCTTGTAGCTGCAGAAAAAAATGGCATTTCCATGCAGCATGGAATCACTTAGAAGACCCTTTAATTTGTGTTCTTAAAATTGTTAATTGTGGGCATCGGTATGCAAAATGTTACACTGATTGCCCTGGCAATTTTGGCTTTAAATCCTTGCAGATTCCTGTCTCACCTGTCGGAAGTCTACCTGTGGGGGAACCCGTGGACATGTGACTGTCACCTCCGCTGGCTGAAGGAACACATCGACAACAACAACACCGCTCCGACCGTTGACTCTCCCCACATCATGGTGTGTAACGCGCCGCCCAAGCTCAAGGGGCGGGCCTTTGACACGCTCACCCCGAAGGACTTCGTGTGCGAGGACGGGGACTTCGACCCGAGTACGGCAAAGTCCAGCCGACCCGGCAGGGTGGAGGTAGTTAGAGACGAGAGAATGCACATGCCGTTCACAGGGGCGGGGAAAAGTCTCCGAGTCCCCACAGTTTGGAGAGATGAGAACATGTCGATCTGTACACCCGCCGTGGTTGATGATTATTCTATCCTGTGCATGGCCGGGGTTGTGCTGTTGTTTCTGTGGGTGGGATTCTCCATGGGGAGGTTTGTGGGCAAGGGGCAAAGATAATTTGCTGAAGGTCCGGATAAAATGCGGCTCTGAATATTTCGTAACCAACGTTGTAGTATATTCTCCAGCTACACGTACTTTGAACAGCTATAGTAATTGCTATGTGCCTATTGGTAATCAAACAATTTTTGCTGTGAACACGTGCACGATACACAAAACATATTATGACACAGGAATACATATTTTCAATATACTGTTTGGCTATCATCATTGGGACCACAAATTATGTCCAAACTCTACCTGGATTCTACAAAATTATCATTAGATTATCATCATAGTCCCGATTGTTGACACATATATTTGCAATGTATCTGCATGCTATCCGTTTCTAACTAGCTGGCATCAATGGATGATATTGCATTCAAGTAACTTTGAACAGTTCAAATAGAAATAAAAAAAGTTCCAGTCATGACAAAGCAAGTGATCACTTTTGTTTCCATTTTTGTCCTCAAAGCAAATAAATGTGATCATGAGGCTTTTCAACTCTGTGTGTTTGTCAGTCACTCAGTGTATCAGAAGTCAGCATATTGCTCTGAGCCTCGTCAATGTGACCATAAATATATTATACCGTTAATCAATATCAAGACTAAACAAATCCAACTACCTAAAAACTCAACCCATGACTCCGTACTTTGTCCTGTTGTTTCACTGTAGTCAATCCCAACGACCAATGAGGAAGGAGCCAGGTTAAGGGTCACGTCAGCTTGTACTTTGAAACACTATTACGGTACTGATTTAAATTGGAGTGACAATTCAGCAGTCCGGCTCACTCATAAATATAACGAAAATGAACGTCACAAAAATATCAGCCCCTGCTGTTGGCAAGCTGTTTTGTTGCAGTCCCAACCTCCCCAGCGTGCGTCAAGTCTTGTACCTGTTTTAACTCTAACGGCACTAGCGTAGTGAACTGTAGCACCGCCGGTCTGACCTCTGTTCCTGCCGACATCCCTAATGACGTGCAGTGGCTCATGATGGCCGAAAACAGCATCACGAGTGTCTCAAAGGAGGACTTAAAGGGTCTGAACTTTCTTAAGACAGTCGATTTGAGCAACAACCAGCTAACAGACGGTGGACTTCCAGCAGGCACGTTTGAAAACCTTCCTTCGTTCAGTGACCTTGACCTTTCCTACAACGAGAAGTTCGACAACTTTCCTACCCACCTGCCCGGAAATCTGAAGACGTTCTCATTCGTGTTCAACAAGGCCACGCACGTGACAGAAAGAACTTTCAGCAACCTGACAGAACTTGTACATCTTGACATCTCCAACAACCAACTAGAGAGTATCGCCCCGGGGGGCTTCAAGGACCTACGCAATCTGGGAACTCTCGACATAGGATTCAATCCGATCAGACAAGACGGCATCCCTGCCAGCGTCTTCAAGCCGGCAAACCGACTCCAGACTCTCGGGCTGCGGTCGGCCCAGCTGCCGCGGGTGCCTCTGGACCTGCCCGGAAGCCTGCAGGATCTGGATCTCGCGCTGAACCTGATCACAGAATTGCCGCCTCACATTTTCTCCAACCTGACGGACCTGCAGTATCTCTCCCTCTGGCTGCAGCCATCCTTAACCCGTATCCATGACGACGCCTTCCGAGGGCTCGGCAAACTGCAGGTATTGTATGCCAACTCCTGCGGCGTGGATAGCGTCACAAACAGCACGTTTAACGGATTGAGCGGGGTCAGGAGTGTGGACCTGGGGAGCGGGAAGATCACACACCTCCCCGCCGGGGCCTTCCATCAGATGGGCAACCTGAAGTCACTAAGGTTGGAGCAGAATCAGCTCACCACTCTGGAAGCATCTGTTCTGGATACAAGGTTTGTGTGAACTTCCATGTGCGTGTGGTTGAGATCAACTTGAATCTAGTAAATTTCTACCATCAGTTTAGAGTCAAAGTCTCTAAAAACATTGGCACTGGAGCCGGCGGATGCAAGGTTGTGCGCATGTGGTTATGTGAAGTACATATCAAAAAACATCAGTCATCAGTCAATTTAAATCTGCCTGCTTTAGTAAGGAGGAATGTTTGCTCTCTCGTACAGGACCTTACCGAGGTTGTCTGAAGTCCAGCTTTGGGGAAACCCGTGGACGTGTGACTGTCACCTCCGCTGGCTGAAGGAACACGTCGATAACAACAACACGGCTCCTACAGTCAGCTACCCATACCTCATGACATGCAGCGCACCGCTCAGACTGCAGGGTCGGGCCTGGGACGCGCTCACTCCCGACGACTTCGTGTGCGGCGATCGGCACTTAAAAACAGTCAACAGAACTTCATAACTGCTGTACAACCTGTGGAAGTTCGCTGCATCTATAACTTTCATCCTGATCTAGATTCAACAGATATCATTAACTTAGGGTAAGTTAACTCTGATCATGAAAGGGATTTGATTAGTTCTTACAAGTAAAATTCTTTAAGTTCAGAAGAAAAAGACCAACGCTGTACCCAACAGAAAGCAAAGGCTTACTCTTGTCGTCGACGTCAATTGTATTGAATTTCTGTATAAGTCACGGTTACAAACTCTTTCCAGCGCAGGTAAACGCTGCAATAATATCATAGCTCGCCAAGTGATGCTGTTCCACTGCCACCTACCCCAAGAAGTCGATTTCAAACAGGAGACAGCGCGGGGACAAAACGAGGGCATGTCACATCGGCAATGTCGATCAAGTAGGCTCTTATTTTGGAGAAACTATATCACTGACATGCACCTCTGTATCAGTATATCTGTATCTGTATCAGTATAGCCGGTATAACACACCAGCTAAATCACCACACTTCATCTGTTTTTGCTATGCTGTTGTACAACTTTACCCCCTTGTATTGAGAGACGATATGATGTCACCCGTTCTCTCTAGACGTGTTTAAATAAATGTAGTTAATGTAAAGTAATCATCCTAGAATAAAACCGCATGAAAGTCTTATTTCATCACCCACTACCATGTAGAGGTGAGCGTGGTGTACATTCACACACACGTTGGACGCTGGGGGCTTCAGTTTCCGTTCTCGCCCGTCAGTTTAAAGCAATTTCCGGGATGATGAGGGTTTACGCGTACACTTGTCATCGGGACTTCAGGACGGAGAATGGCCGTACTTTGTTTTGTTGTCATGTGTCATCCTGAGGAGGATTATCTCGTTATCTCTGTCCCGTCAGATTACAAAATCTCGTTTGGTGAATCTCGAAGCCCGTTCTTCTACCTGATACTATCCCTAGTATCTCTAGTTGTAGCGAAATAATATGGCACATACGTTTATTTTCATGTGAAAATGTTGCAAAATTTTCTTTTACTGTTACCGTTACATATATTTCAGAGCAATGTTGACATGACTTATAATGGCACGTATGTAGCAGGACAGTTACTAGACCCATTTCTTTAAGTCAAGGACATTAACTCTATATAGAGATCATATATAATGTCCGTGATCACACCCGAATTAACTTTAACGGACCGGGACGGGATTAGTGACGGCATTATGCTAGTATGTGTAAGGCGACTAAGGCTTCTCAAATTCAATATTTCTAGTAATGCTGCTTGGAGAGTAATATAAAGTCCTTGATCAGTTCCGTCATGACGTCACTCCGCAGTCACGTGACGAGAACTTCCCGCGTATCCGGTGGTCTCGTTTTCGCGCGTTGCAGGAACAAAATGGCGGTAAGTACGAGTTCTGTAACTTCTGTTGACGAAGAAGCTGTTTTACCCCTGTTGTGTGTCATGACCAGAAAACGACACTTAACGTGACCTGTGCGTACACTGGAGAGGGAGAAGGGTCTCCGATTGACTCTTATCCCAAACTTTGTGTTGGCTTATTCATATTTTTCAGTTGGAGAGAGAGGGAGGGTGTGTGTGTGTGGGGGGACCACTAAATTATCTAGGGCCATGTAGGACTTTCTCACTCACACTGTAGCAGCTTTGTATTTTAGGCAACTTTCTAAACTTGCACAGTTGGTGCCCCCCTCCCTCCCAAGTGGACTGAATGACGATAAACCATTATTAGTACTATATTTTCCTGTACAGACCATGATGGGAGCCATGGGACATCATACTAGTAGGCCACCTATGGGCAGACCTGATACAGTATTGTCAGAGTGGCTTTATTTTCCCAGTGACCTCACTACTGCGAATTCATAGCACTGCAAGTACTCCTGTGCATTTCCAATGTAGTAGATCACATACTTTGTCAGGTTGGTAGATCAAAGCCCCTTTTCCCACTAGGATAAAATTGTATGGATCCATCCAAATAGATTGGCATTGATCCGGCTTTGATATGGAAACCAGTCTATTTGGATTGATCCGGGTAATTTTATCCTAGTGAGGAAAAGGCCATTGTCATAGTCGTGAAACACTAGGGGCAAGTAGAAACACAAAAACCGCTGCTCTTTCTTAGTAGTTAGGATTTGGCACTCTCACCACCATGAGTTCGATTCCTGGTGTGGGAACCACTGAAACACTAGTGGCGAGTAGACAAACTAAACCCCATGCCTTGACTCCCAGGACCCTGGGAATCGAACCCTTGCAAACCCTAAGGCTGCCAGCTTACAAATGCAATGCGCTAATTACCACTGGGCCAAAAGGTCTGGACCCATCAGATGATTCAGCACTTGAAAAGCCAATATGGTTGGTCAGCTACCTTCCTCAGACAAGTAGCGAGACATAGCACTGCGGAAGGTGGCAGGCAAACTATTGATACATTTGCACAGAAGAACAAGAACTTGGTTATGTGCAAGAAAACTGAGTTTATGCGACATGTACTGATGTTGTATGATGTACCTGTATCTGTATAGCTGGTATAACTGCCCTTCAGCCCAACATTGTAGGCATGCAATACTGCAGCAGCTGGTTCTATTACACTATCTAGTGAGGATACCCCCACTGAAAGTGTTGACAACATACTACAAGTTCCAGTGTATAAGACATCTATGTACGCTGGTCACGAGTGACTGGCTCGTATCCAGGGTACGAAATCTCCTTTGCTGTCGAATCATGCGGTACATATCTTAAAAGAACAGTGTCCATGATGTAGTGGAAAATGAGAGATATGTACTTTGTATTACCATTATCTGTGGCCAGTTCAGCCAGATGTGTGTTAATTAACAAGTTGCAGACTGCAGCAGTGTCTGTCTCAGGCATAATGCTGGAGTAATGGTGTGGAGCCTGAAGTGGTGAGAAGTTAGCACTTGATCAGCACCGATACTACATGGACTGGAAAATATCCCAGTTTTCCATCCATTATTCACCACTCATCTCTCGGTCTGTCTGTGTACCAATCTTCTCATCATTTTATCTGTCCAACTATCATGTTATAACCTAAGTAACATGGCTTTCAAGTTTTCTGACCAAAGTGTGCAACATTTATTTGTTCCGAGCCTGTTTGGAGTACAGATATTTTCATGAAGCTCCTTGGTATGTTGATGTTCCTGCTGCAGAAATAAGATCAAGATGGTGGGCTGTCTTAGGAAGGTAAAACGTACTGCCAAACACATGGTCTTTCTTCTGAATCTAAGCAAAACTACCCAAATTTGAAAAGTGATGAGCTGGTGCTGAGATAACAAATGTGGTACAGCACCATTATTCCATATTGCATAGGGTCCCTGTTTTACCTACGAACTCAACAACTTAGTGACTCACATATTTCACAGATGAAGTATTCTTAATAGATGATGTGTTAGTAAGGGTAGGTCATACACATTCTGGGTAGCAGTCCAAAACACTAATAAAGCAAGGCAGCTCCTTTATGTTTCAACTTGTGTCTAATCTATAACCTTGTAACAAATCAATGACTGAAATATTTGATTAGTGAAGTATTTTTCTTGCAGGTCTGTTAGCATGGGTAGGTCATAATCCTGCTTTCATCATAGCTCTTCACATTCCTGTCAGAAAATTAGTCCTTGTAAACAATAACACAGGAGCCCCTTGCTCATCGTGCTCCCAGCAGTTCCATACTAATTGATGCCCTTTTTGGGTCGGGGTAATTTTCTGGTAGCCAAGTAAATCTGATAAAGGCGTCCTGATATTGTTATAGGCACCACGGTCCGGCACATTACTGCTCTGTAATGTGTTTTAATCTATGTGTCTAGACGTTTGTTTGGTCAACATATTGAAATGTTTGCGGACGCATCTGTCTTTGCCAAAAAGGGAACTTAATTTCAAGTCGATGTCATGATGCAGTGATACTGCTATCATTCTTGACAAAGTGGAAACAAGATGGCTGAAATGCCTACTATGGTTAGATTTTCATCAAACTACATGTATCAGTTTTCCTCCCCTCTCTCGTTTTCATATTTTCAGCTTGTCTATGCTGCATCGCCGTTTGAAATCGCCAGGAGGCTTTGCTGTACTCGGTGTCGCTGCTGGCTACCCACAGACGTCACTGCCTATTTGCACAATTTTGGTGGCACACTTGACGGTGCTTTCTGCTGTCAATCATGCCATAGCAACACCCGCTGTGTCATTTGAGTTCCCCTGCCGCTACCGTTGGCGTGCCGTCAGCGTGCAGTAGGCCAGGGTTCGTCTCAACAGTTCGCTCCTAATGACTTTTTACGGTTTTATATTAAATCGTATGATACCTTGAATCCTGTGTACCTGGGCTGTGCTGTTGTCGCTCACACTAACTTACGCGATTGGAAAGGGTCACAATTCTGAGTGCAGTACGTTAAGCCGTGGTCCACTGTCATTCTGATTGTCGAAAAGAGCTAGGGGAATTTTCTGGTACTATGAACCTATAAATACTGTCTCATAGCGTCTGCGCACAATAACCATAACACGGCCAGTGAAAGGGTAGCTCTTCAGTGAGCTTAACTTGGCCGAAATCACTTTCGCCTCACCTCGACCGTCGTCCCTCTGCTGGACCATTCGATATGATTTCTCTAGATGTAGGTTCGTGTAGGGATGACGTGAACGTGAGAGACGGTCCCCAGCGAAAGATGCTCATGAATGGCAACCTTCCGTCATCAACACGCGGAGGAGTCAAAGCGCGGGAACTCTGGTGGCGCCCCGCGCGACGTGAAGTCACGCATGTGTCAAACACATCCTGTTTACTACTACTGCCGCCTAGAACTTCTAGGCAGCCTTCTAGTAGAAGGCTATGTTTTTGCAAGGCATCAGAAATAAATCTCCTTGTTTTTTTGGTAGCGTTTGGATGTTTGTTTATTATTTTATTACAATAACTGAAGAAGCTATGGATGGAATGTCATGAAATGTGGTAGGTAGGTCGGTCCAAGGAGGTGTCAACCTCCATGCAAAGAAATTGTTATTTTGGACCCACTGGCAGCTTTACTTGGTACTGCAGCGGGTACACTCCCATACACTAAAACAACAATTATACAACATGAAATAATCAAGGTGCATATAGTACAATGGGCTACCAACAAATTTGTCAACTGTACTGAGTACAGTACGTACATTGGCATAATTAAATGCAGTGTTTCCCTTTACACTTCAAACCAGACGCTCCGATGGTCTCGAGATCACAAGGCATCCAATTGTTTCTTAAGCTTGAGCACTGAGCACATACAGCCAGTATCTCTACTGTACGTGTGCGTGTCTTTACTGTGTCGTCTTTGCTATCATAGAGAGACAAGTACCCTTACAGAATCCTAAAACATGCGTACGCTTACTAAACGATAAGCAGAACATGCTTACATATTATGACGATACCCTGACATATTGGTTTGAAAAAAATGTATAGTATTATTAAGAGTATGTAATTTACAGCGTCATGATGAAGCGCCACGGCTGTTTGAACCGCTACATTAACGCACAGGGTAGAGTCATCCCAACCGAAGACAGGCGTGAGGTTTGGCTTATTGAAAGACACATTTTTATTGATCCAGACGTGTGGACCGCATCTTTTGCCGATATGTGGAAGAACCGGAAGAACATACGCGAGAATGGTTCATTGCCAGCGCGCTCTGCACAGCGTTTGGCTACA